CTTTTTACATTTTATTGTTCTAATATTTCCTCCTGATATTTACTAAGTATCTGGCTAAAAGCTGCCAGCAGCACCCATGCCATAGTCTGAGTATCCTACTGCCTTGAAATTTCCTTTGTCAGATTAATTATTCCACTGTCCTAAATGTCAGTCTTCAAAGTCTCAGGACATTTTCTGCCAAACTGTACCATACAAGGCCTCTTACACAACTGCCAATGGAGTCCTTTTTCTCAGCTGAAACCTCCTGAGCCTGGCCGTTATTGCCTGCATTTCTGTCAGCTCTTTGGTCTTCTGAGCTCTGACCAGAATCACCCATCCAAGCTCAGTGTACAGCATTCGGGGGCTTTTCTAGCCAGTATCTGTAAACCTTTCCAAATCCCTCCCACAAACCAGATCCAAAGGCTCTGAATCACATGGTTAGGTATAGTCCTAGCAGTACCCCACTCTTGGTACCAAAGTCTTAGTCATCTTCTCACGCCTGAGACGAAATACTCAACACTCACAACTTGAAGGAGGGGGTGTTTATTTTAGCTGATGTGTTCAGTTCATGGCCAGTGCATTCCAAGGCAAGAAGGGCCTGGGTGGTGGAAAGCTGCTCATGTCATGGAGCTGGGAAGCAGAGAGCAAGGAGAGAAGTTGTGGGGGGAGGTACCCTTCCATGTCACACCCACAGCAGCCCATTTCTAATGTCCAGCCAGCTATAGTACTCTGCACTCCAACTGCCTTCCAAAAACCCCACCTCTGAGCACATGAGGCCCTGGGGAGACACTGCAGAACCAAATCACAACCTGCCCCTGTTCGCTACCGGATAGATAACCATGGAGATGACCCTGCATTAGAAAAGGGGACAGGAGCTGTGGAAGTCACTCCAAAACAGCTGTTGCCAGCACCTGGCCATGTATGTGTGGAAGTAGAGTTATGACAGAGCTCAGGTTTCTCTCTCTCTTTTTTTTTTTTTTTTTTGTCCTGGGAGTCGAACTCAGGACGTTGTGCTTGCCAGGCAGGTGCTTATACCACTGAGCTATATCCCCAGCTCAACAACAGAGCTTAGCCACAGGACAGGAAGTCACTTCCTGGGCCCCAGATGCATGAGCATAGGTGCTGCGAAGGGACTACATTCGGTATATTTAGCAAGCACATGCCCACCCCATGCTGAGCTCTGTTCTAAGCATGCAGCTTGTTTTAACATACTTGGTTTCCATAACTTGGCCAGGTGTCCATTGTGTCTCCTGGGCTTTGAGAGACAGACCTGAGATTTGAGCTCAGGTGGTGCTCACAGCCATTGCTCTGTGCTCTGTACTGAAACTGCCTGCAAATCTCTCCCTGGCCCAGCCTCCCGGTGCACACTCACAGACACCTTGCTGCTAGGTGGGTGGGTGTGTGAGCCAGGTGCCCTAGGGAGCCAGACCGGTAGGAGAAGACGCATGCATGTTTGCACATGCTTGTACACAGATGCATATGTAGAACATGCATAGATACCTACAGAGACATGTGCATATGTGTACACATAAAAAGACATGTAGCTATATATATACATACAGGCATGCATATATACATTATATATGGGCACAGGCATATATACACATGTATATAATGGATATAGATACACATGTGCATATATGAATATGTGCATAATAGAAACATACATAAATATATATGCATATATAGACTCATACATATATATTCATAGCCATGTACTTGCATGCATGCTTACATATATACACATGCAAATACATACAGGTGTGTAGACACATACATGGACATACACATGACTGAGGATGTGCTGCAGGACTTGGCACACAGAACCCCTGGGCTGGGACCTCTTAAACTTGGGAGACTTGGAGACTGTGAAGCAGAACCTTCTAACAGGCTCTGCCTTAAAGCCTCCAAGTTTTTTAAGAGCCCCAGCTTTTGCTCCTAAATCCTTCAACAAATCAGACGCGCCCCACCCCAGGATCGAGGATAATCTGCTTTCCTGAAGGCAGCTGACTGGTGTGAACCACACCTCCACAGCAGCATCTACACTAGTGTTGGGCTGATCACCGGGCACGGTGAGGGCCTTGCCGAGCAGGACGTGCAGTGTGGCCACCACAGAAAGCCAGGCGCGTGGGAGGTGGGACCTGGTGGCCTTGGTCCCCGTGAGTCCTCCGGGGTCTGGTGGCTGAGTGCCGCACTGGGCTGAGAAGAGGAGGCTCCTGCAGGAGCCCTGTGGCCTCTGGCTGTCCTCCTCGGTCCTGAGGCTGAACACACCCCTGAGTTTGCTGGAGCCGCCAGAGGCCGAGGGGTGGGGGGAGGCTGGAAAGCCACTCTGCTGCTGCGGGCTGAGAACAGGGCACCCACGGGTTGAGTGTCCTCGAGGCTCCCTGTGGGCACTGGAGAGAAGCCCAGCAACCCGGGGCGGCTGGAGAAAGCACAGGAGGCCTGGGAGGCCTGGCAGAGCAGGGAGAGCCCTGTGCAGCTGCAATGAACAGGGCAGGAAGGGGCCTGGAGCCCCGATGCACGGGGCAGAGAGCTAGCACACACTGAGCCAGTGCGCATGTGCACCATGCTGCCCTCCCGAGCCAAGAGCCAGCCCCAGAGGGATGTAGTGCAGCGGACATGGCTTGGCCCTGGGACCGGTGCTCAGTGCAATCCGAGGGGACCTCTCCAGGAAGTGACATCCTGACCTGCAGCATGAGGAGGAGCTGCTGCTGCAGGCCTGGCATGTTCTCGGCCTGTAGATGCCTATTGTCCAACAAAGGAGCCACCAGAGGGGCAGGCAAGGCCACAATGAGGCAGCATGGCATGGCAACTCTGAGCCTCAGTCCCCGCTGCCCCACAGGCTGGGGAGAGGTCACGGGTGGTGGCAGGGTGGGTGCTTCCCGGACAGCAGCGGCTCTTGTCACTACAGAGGTGATGCTGCTGAGGTCCCTGCAGGAGACGCGGCCAGCCCAGAGCTGGCGTGGGGGCGGCTGAACTGAGTGGGTTGGCTCAGGAAGGTGGTGACATGTCCACACTGGGTGGGGTGTGCGGGTGCCCTGGAGGACCTGGGCCTGGAGCTGGGGCTGGGTCAGGGGACTGTGCCTGCTGGAGTAGAGGCCACCGCAGGTCTCTGTGGCCTTCACTGCACTCCAAGATGGTTGACAGCTTTTAATTTTTTTTCCCAATGCTGGGGATCGAATCCAGCGCCTTCACCCTGAGCCACTTCCTGAGTTGGCTTTTTTCCAGCAGCAGCTTTTAGACTTGCTATTCTGAGGGTTTCTTGTCTCCTCGCAGTCACTCCAACAGCTGGCTCCAAAGCACATGCCACATAATTCAGCGATTTTATGAAATGCACAAAGGGCAGCAATCCGTGTTGGAGCTTTTCAGAGATCACCAAGTGTCTCCCGTCCATTCCTCTCTCAATCAGGACAGCTACCTATAGTGTTAGCAGCTTTGCTTTAAATTTGAGGAAATTGCTTTTTTTTTTTTTTTTTTTTGGCAAGAATCATTTTTTTAACTGCAGTAAAGCCAGGCATGGTGGTGCACACCTGTAATCCCAGCACTTGAGAGGCTGAGGCAGGAGAATCGCTGTGAATTCGAGGTCAGCCTGGGCTACAAAGTGAGTTCAAGGCCAGCCTGAACTGTGTAGTGAAACCCTTTTTCAGGGCTGGGGATTTAGCTCAGTGGCACAGCGCCTGCCTGACAAGCGCGAGGTTGTAAGTTCGATTCCTGGTACCGGAAAAAAAAAACAAAAAAAACAACAAAAAAAAGAAAAACCCTTTTTCAATACGACAAAAAAAAAAGGAAAAAGGGAACTGCAACAAAATTCACCACCTTAACCATTTTAACGCGATTCAGTGGCATTTCATACATTTGTAATGTTGCACAGCTGTCACCGCTGTCTCATTCCAGAACATTCTCATCACCCTAAAAGGAAACTCCCACCCAGTAATTAGTAGTCACTCCCGGCTCCTCTCTCCCTCCTCTGGCAACCACAGTCTGTTTTCTGTCCCCAGGACCTGCTGATCTGGGACGCTTCATACAAATGGAATCTTACGGGTTGGGGTCTTCCACGTCTGGCTCCTTCACTTAGCCTGGCATTGGCCAGGCTTCTCCGTGTGGCTCTGAGTGCCAGGATTTCCTTGCTGCCTAGGGCGAGACACCATGCATCATGAGGATGCGTGTGCCCTCCTGCCCCAGCCTGGCCCAGCCTCCTGTGGGTCTTCCTGGGTGGAGCCACGTGAGTGGAAAGCCCCTGGTTCCCCAGGACTAGGTCTCCGAGCAGATGCCCTTGCCTACATGAGCAGTTCCTGCAGGCCTGGTGAGGAAGACAGCTGTGAGAGCAGACAGGGCCGGGGCGGCGGGGCGGCCTGGTGGAGCCTGCTGGGACCAGCTGAGGTCACAGTGAAGGTGGCCAGGCCGGTGCCAGGCCCTGAACAGCGCTGACTCTAGGTCCATGGTGACACAAGGGCAGCTGCTATACAGAGGCAGAGATGGTACACAGCTCAGTACACAGGACTGCAGAGGCTCCATCACCTGGGCACTTGACCAGCAGGCTGTGCCACCGCCCCCAGTGCCCTGGGCTCAGACCTGGAGCAGTTGCTCTCAGTCACACACTAGAGGTCCCCTTGCTCCCTGGCCTCACGTCAGCTCCCCGGCTGGAAATGGGGAGGAGTGAGGAGGAGACCGCCTATCTTCTCACTAGCAGCAGCCCTGACAGTGCGATGGATTGGTAAAGAAACAGGAAAAGCTGGGCTGTCGATGCCCTGTCTGGGTTTCTGTCCACAGGGGAAGGGGCGCCTTAGTGTCAGGAGTCCAGGGCGCTGGCTGCAGCTGTGCACGGTCTTTGCATGTCCCTGGAGGAATCTCTGTTCTCTGGGTGTGGCACAGAGGGAATCCGGGGAGCCATCAGAGTCCCCAGCATGCTTCAGAGGCCACCCCAACCCCAGCTCTGCCTCCAACAGAGGACCTTGGAGGCTGGCCTGGCGCAAGCATGGCTGCAGAGCTGCTAACTGCGCCTCTGTTTCCCTCCTTTAAAGAGACACTTGTCGGCTGAGGAGTTCCAGGAAGTGTTTGGGATGAGCATGGAGGAGTTTGACCGCCTGGCGCTGTGGAAGAGAAATGAGCTGAAGAAGAAGGCCCTGCTGTTCTGACGGCCACAGCCTCTCACCACGGGCCCAGGGACGGAAGAGAACCATGCCAAGCCCACATCGCGCCTCGCTCTGGCTTCTCTGTGTCGTGGGGTGGGGGGACAGCGTGCCTGGGGAGCCAGGCCGGGAGGGAGGCGGCCCCGGCAGCGCCTCTCTCTGTGCCAGTGATACTCCTGCCTGTAGTTTAGGGCCCGCCACAAGCTTGACCGCCTTTCCCCTGCTGCGGCTGGCACCAGGAGCCGCTGTGGCCCGGCTGCCACAGAAGGCAGCCGCAGCCACCTTGGCAGCATCCTCGGGGTGTCCGGCCCCCGCACCAGGCACTCGGGTCCAGGTGGCTGGGATGTGGTGTCAGCGGCTGACACCCTTGGGGTGGCCGCTCGGAGCGGGGCAGGCACAGCCAGCCTCACAGACTCAGGCCAGGGCAGGAGGGTGACGCTGAGCTTCCCAGGCTGTGCCAAGTGCAAGGTGCGGGGTTTCCGCAGCTGTCAGCGACAGGTCTTTGGGGAGACAGACGTCAGGCTGATAGGGCACCTGCGCCAGTGCTCCTCTGGTCACCGCGTCCTTCTTCCAGATCACCCCCTAGATGCCTCCGTGATATCTTTCGAGTTACACAGAAGTTTTTATTTTATTAAAAAGTATAGCTTCCTTCCACAGAAGAGGACATATATGCAGAGTTTAGTTTCTTGGCCCTGCGAGGGGCGCCTCCAGCCTTACCCCGCCCGCAGGTCTCTGTGGCTCCCGTTCTCCATGTTCCAGGGGACACGGTGCCTTGTGTGCCTCCTCGTGTCTCTCCTCCTCTGTGCGTCACGCGGTGCCCTGAAGACACACCCCTCCAGTGCTGTGTGCAAATACGCGTGAGCGGTACCCCATCTTCCCTGCCGTTGTTCTCTGAGTCTCAGAAAGGAAACCCCCCGTTGGCCAAAGCCCTGGAATAAAGGTGTCCACACCCCAGCCTGGTCCCACATGACATCACCGTCGGCCAGTATGCGCCCGGGGGTCGCCTCACGCGCGTCCCCGACATGCACACCGAATGCTCTTGGGGCAGGAGGGCGGGGACGCCGCCTCTTCCCATCTGCGAGGCACCTACCGGGGCTCCCAGGGCAGGCGCTCGTGTCTGCGCTTAGGGTCCGCCCGCTGTGTGGCCATCACAGGACTCCAGGGCAGCCGCGGCCAGTTTCCCCTCCTGGTGGGTCCCAGCTGTCCCTCCCAGGAGTGGTCCTTGCTCAGCCTCCTCATGGTCCGGCCCCGCCTGGCACCCAGCTTCACCCCAGCCCACTGTGGATGGGGATTTTTAGCTTCCTGCAGCTGAGCTGTTCCAGCCTGTGCAACTGGAAACCCCCCTTCTCGTTTGCCTGCCGTCTGTCTGATCCCAGGGCTGCCTGGGAACATAAAAGACGCTGAGCTGTACCTTGAGGAAGGCAGAGACGGGAGGGTGGGGCCTCTGAAGGCTTGGGTGGGTCACGGGAGGGCCCGATGCCTGCAGCGGGAGCCTGAGGTCCCATCCCCCGCCTCTACCCCAGGCAGCCACAGGGGCTCCGAGCCTTGTCCCCCTCTAGCGCCATCCTCAGCCTGCCCAGGCCACCCATCTGTGGCTGGCATCTGCTGCCCCAGGGCAGGTTGGGGAGACCAAGCCCAGTTGATGCCCCAAGACTGACCGCTGCTGGACAGCAAAGGCACCAGGGCCCCGATGTGTCCAAGGTCGGGGGAGCCTTCCTGGAGCGGGCAGGAGGGAAGGCGCGCAGGGCAGCCGGGACACGGGGCAGGTTCTGGACACTTCGGTGGCTGGCTGCGGCTGAGCACAGTGCCAGAACAAGAGAGGAAATGAGTGGCCCTCACAGCACCCATGCGGAGGTGGGAAGGGGGTGGTGCCTCCGTGCAGTCTGGGGACAGGCTGGGGCCCGCGGGAGGCACCTAGCTTCCGCTTCCACCCCTCAGCTCTCCCAGACCCAGGCCTGGGGGTTTCCTGTGGACTTCGTTCCATAGGCTTGCTTGATTACATCACTGGGGCGCAGGCAGCTCAGCCGGCAGCCCCTCTCCTCTTCCCCGGGGTGGATGTGGGCTCAAAGTCTCAGGCTCCAATCCTGCCATCCTGCCTTGTCTGTGGCCAGCCCCGCCCTGAGGCTACCCCTCAGCATAGGGAAAGTCTTGGTGCAGATTCCGAGGACGTTAGGGGTTTTGTGACAGGAGAGGAGAAGCCTGAATCTCTACTTCTCAGTATCACTCCTGCCATCCCCGCAGGGCCAATCCCAGCTCAGTGCCTGCTGGGGCCTGTGTCGAAATTCCTGGGACCGAGGGACACTCTGGATCTCTTTCCTGCACCTCCCCAGGGTGGCCACGTGTGGCAAGTGACTTGGATCTGCAGGCAGAACCTCGGTACCCACCCACTGCAGCAGGAAGGGAGTGTGTTGAATCTTCAATTTGGGCTTGGGCTCAGAAGGGACGCACATCCTTTCTACTCACAGCCCATTGGCCAGAACTGGTCATGTGACTCCATCCAGCTGCAAAGGAGTCCAGGAAGCATGGGACCCATGTACTGGAGGAGGGAGAGGACAAAAGCCAAGGGAGAACCTGTGTGTCCTACACTGAGGCCACTCTAGCTCCCGTTTCCCCACATCAACCCCCAGTGCCTTTGGAGCTCTTACTGTGAATCCCTTCGGGGTCATCAGCCACCGAGTCCTCCATGCTACCCTGCCCACAGGCACCGCATGGGCCACCAGACCCTCCAAGTCCTTGCCGTGTGCAACATCCCCCTGGAGGGTTTCACCTGGGACATGTGTCCTACTCCCTGACCTGCTGTCCCCAGCACAGGTGACGGGACCAAGCCATCTGCAGAGAGGACTTCTCGTAGCCTTGTGAAGGACTCTGCCCATGGACACCCTCTGTTCTGTTTGGAGTTCATCCGCCTGGCCAGGCGCCCCATGGAGGAAGTGCTGTGACCCCCAGGAGTTGAGAGGCAGGGAGCAAGACTAGGGGGAGCCAGAGCAGCCCGGGTGGTGGGGAAGGGGAGGGAGGGAGGGAGGAGGGCCAGGAGAAGAGGGGCAGGAAGCAGGGGCTGGAGGGTCTGTGCTTCAAGCAGGCGGACACCCTGTGTGGGCTGCAGACTGGGGCTGTGCAGAAGCCCACCGTGCCCCCAGGACCTCGAGCCCCTGGAGAGCTGATGTGCAGTTGGGTGATGAGCCAGGGACAGCGCAGGGGCCCCCAGTGCTCCCATCCCCAGAGCCTCAGCACAGAGTCTCCGTGAAAGCTGAGTGCTTCTTGTGTTTTAGATGAGAACAACCTCCAAGGGTGTCCTCCCTGTCCTCACCCCTACCCTGCACGCAGTCGTCCTGGGGGGTGTCAGCCCAGGCCGCCTCTGCACTGTCCTGCAGACAGGTCTCCAGGTCCCCCAAGAGCCTCAGGCTGGGACCCACGCTGGCCAGCTCCTGGGGGAGGTGGCAGAGGATTCGCCACTTCTCCTCTGAGCACTTGGGGTCCTCTGACAGTCCTAGGTGGTGGATCCTTCTCAAGCCCCCACTTTCTAGATGAGGAAACTGAGGCAGAGAGAGCAGCATGATGTCACCCGTCCAGGATTACCTAGCTGTGGACGTCTTCAGGACCCACACCTCACTCCAGAAAGACCTGTGTGCTTGCTGGGAGAAGCCGGGGCACGCAGGTCACCTCCAGACTGGCTATCCTGCTGGGCCTCCCATCTCACCCACAGAGACGCCCTTGTGTGCCTGGGGAGGAGCAGGGGACCAGCTGGGGCACCTGGAAGTGGTCCAGATGTGTGGTCACCCAGGGGGAGGCTGGACTGCTGAGCTCCAGCTGGGGACAGGTGGGACACCCACCACTGTGCTAGTGAGTCTGGGGCTCCCCATAGGGAGATTGGACATGGGGTGTGAGGCTGCTTCCTGTTACCTGAGTTCCTGAAGACCCCAGAAGGCCATAGCCCCATAGCCAAGCCTTGGTCTGGTGGCTTCTGCCTAGCTCTGCCCCAGCTGCACCCCCCCACCCCAAAGCCATCGAGCTGTGCTTTGCCCCTCCCCATTGTTCATGGTTCCCAGTCCCCCCACAACCCCACAACCAGAGCTGAGGGATATGTGTCACATGTTTGTACAAATGATTAGTGAACACTGGGTCATCCCGGGACCCAGCCCCCTCCTTCCAAGGCGCACAGAATCTCGGGGTTAGGTGAGTTACCCGCTGTGCCAGGCAGGGCTACCTACCCGGTATAGCCCCTGTGCCCCAGCCAGGAGGTCATGTCCCCAGCAGGAGCGCACCTGTGACGGAGGGGAAGGACATGAGCACTCTCGGGGCACCGCCACCCACGCCAGGCCCAGCCGAGCTCAGTTTCCTGGGTTGGGAGGCTGCTGTACAGGGTGTGCATGATGCTCAGGCCCACAGCAAGGCCTGTCTGTCCACTGTGCTCTCCTGTGCTATCCTGACACACTGGGGTCCCTGCACCCCGAGCTTGTGCACTCCTGACTCCTGCACCCTTAACCTTCCAGCATACAGCTGCCCGGTGCAGACTGTCCGAGCCCCTGGGAGGACCTCGTGGGCTCTTGCTGAGCCCAGACTGCGGCACACCACCCTCTATCTGCCCTGCCTCCCTCTCTGGCCTCTTTGTTCTTGAACTGAGGATTGAGCTAGGTGTGCATTCCACCACTGAGCCATCTCCTCAGCCCTTTTCACTTTTTATTTTGAGACAGTTGCTCAGGTTGGTCTGGAGCTTTCGATCCTCCTGTCTCAGGTTCCCCAGTAGCTGGAACTACAGACCTGAGCCACTAGGCGCAGCCCAGCTCACCCTTCTCCTCTTATAGCCTTTCTTCGTGAGCAGCTTCTCACCTCCTTCCCAGACACTGTCCTTAGCAAAAGGTCTTCCCTCTGCCCTCAGTGCCCTACCTGGCAAACTCCTACTCATCCTTCAATACCCCATGAATGTTACCCCAACTGTTAAACCCAAAGAACCCAGTTCATCAACAGAAATTTACTGGGCATGGTGCTGGCAAAACAAAGATAATCAGAGACCACCCCTGACCTTGAGGAATGACCACAAATTGTGAAGGAGATGACCAAAGCCAGGGGCCTTGCAGCCAGGGAAGTGAGCTAGTACAAAGGAGGAGTCGGGAGAAGAGCCCAGCAGGAGGGAGGCAGGGCGCCTGTGAGGCTCCCATGCCGCTGAGTTCCCCTGGATAAGGTCCGGGGGTGAGCAGGGGTCAGCCAACAAGGGGTGGGACCCAGGAAGTGCCCCTCCAGGGCGGGGAAACAGCACTGGCCAGGCTGAGGTCAGGAAGCTGCAGGGCGCATCCAGGAGCCAGGCCGGAGCTGTGCTGTGAGTCAGCCCCAGCTCTGGGCTCCAGGCTTGCCTGTTCCGGGAGGAGGGCCCTTCTGCACCAGCCCAGCACTGTCCGCAAGCCCTGCCATGGCCCTGTGCTCGCCCCCTCGTGGGCCATCTGTGGGCCGGAAACCTGGCAGCCTGGGGGTGCGTCTCAGGTCGCCTCTCCTGACTGGAAGTACCTGGCAGCTGCTTCCCCTCCACCTCAGCCCTCCTCCCCGCTGCCGCTCCCTGGACCGAGTCCCCCGGATGCCCCTGGACCCAAGGCCTGGCGTCAGGGTCCACTGTGGGGAGCAGCAGCCTCGGACACCTGCATTTCCACTGCCCTTGCCTGTGTTGTGCATTGGACAATTCCATGTCACATGGCCAAGCCTGAGGGCTGAGGGTCCGGCTCTGATGCTAGTCATGCTGTGCCCCCAGCTGGGACCTCAGTGCCAAACCTCCTGCACCCGCCATGGGGTGGTCCCGCCGGTCCAGGGGTCGTGCACCCATACCAGCGCAAGGAGACGCTCCACCCCGGCTGAGAGTGTAGAGGGCAGTTCCCAGCCCTCTAGCGAAATGCTCCTTTGAGGCCCGGCCTGGTGTGGCCTTTGTCCTCAGTGGAGAGCCTGAGGCAAGGGCCTTGGGCACAGAGCTC